CCTTAAAGTAGACTCAGTTTGCACTATTTCTGGCAGTCTGCAACCCCCATAACTCAGGTAGAAAGGTAACAAGACGACACCTCCGGAGTTTTTTTAGCCATTTCGACATGGGGCTTGGATACTTGGGATATATAGTATCTTGGTGCTTTATGAGTTTCTCCCTTTCTTTTTGGGCATTTGTTGGTGAAACCTTCCTGTTGTAAGTTATTCCAGTGTTATAGCTCGCACAGGGACTCTTTTTTTCTCTGCCACTTTCCCCAGGCTTTCCATTCCCTTTCAGGGAACAATGTATATGTATGTGTATGTATGTATATGTATACATATACATATACATACATACACATGTATACATGTACATATACATATACATATACATACATACACACACATACATATACATTGTTTATATATATATATATATATATATATATATATATATATACACACACACACACACACATACATACATACACATACATATACATTGTATATATCTTCTATCTTCTATTGCAAAGTATTGGAGTGGCAATCAAGATCCATTGGCTTTACAAAAGAAATGCTCCTGGAGGTGAAAACTGCTAGAATTGGTTGCTTGAGCTGCCTGCATTTAAGGACTCTCTCCTTAAGGGTCTCTCTGGGGGAACAATCACAAGGAAAGGCTCCAAGTTGCTGCAAAGAACTATTCTCCTTTTCTTTTAATCTCTGGGACTTGTAGCTTGGTGAGATATTTAGCCTTCTCTGTCAGAAAGCTCTGGTGCCACTGCAAACTACAAATCCCAGTTTGCAAGGGGATCTTGCAGCACCTTTGAGACTGGTCTCAAACTTGCTGCAAGATCCATTTACATCCTGATATCCCAGACTAGCCTCTGAATTCTACAAATCCCATTTCCCCCCCAGGATAGAGCCTTGACAGTTAAAGCTGTATCAAACTGCATTAATTCTGCAGTGTGGCAGCAGTCTTAAAGGTGCCTTCTATTGAACACTATGCAACCATATGCTTGCAAATCTTGCATCCAATAAGCACTCAGCTCCGCCTAAAATGAAGCAAATCCTCTCCGGGCAGCCAATCAGAATGGTTGAAAAGGGAAAAAAGGCTGCCGCAAGGCTGATGGGATTTGTAGTCCCTAGGCTTTCCATTGGTCTGGGTCTTCTGGGGGATCAAGAGGGATTGTGAATGATAAGAGTCATCACAGGGAGTGCTGGCTCATATGAAGGATCTCGTGAGTGAGGACAAAGCTTGGAAGAATGACTTTTTGGAAGTGCAATGATTGTAGTCTAACAATGTTACTTTCCATTGTAAAGGGTTGGGACTAGGAGGAGTTACAAAATTGCTGTTGCAAGACCATCATCCACCAGCTGCAGAGCTGCCTTTGCCTTTGGATTAATGGGAGATCAGCCTTTCATCTGCCTGGAAAGGAAGGAAGGAAGGAAGAAAGAAAACCCTCCACCTGAAAACTATTGAATAAAATCCAGGGAAAAAAGCAGGAGCTTTTAAGAGGCTTTGCAGGTGCTTCTGTTGCCTATTTTGGGAAGGTTTCTGAATGGCACTGGTGAGTTTCTGCAAATCTTTGGATTAAACCATTGTGAAATTTGGGTCTTTGTATGGAAATATGATTGCTTTTCTTTTTCTTCCCTGTGGCTAAATTATTAAGACTGTGTGTCATGTCTTTTAACTTTTGTATATTGTAATGTAAGTTTATACTGTTTTAGGTGATTTTACCTGTTTTAAATTTTATTTTATTTTTTAAATGTTTTATCTGTAAACTGTCTTGGGTTCCTTCTGGGAGAAAGGCGGCATACAAAAGAGAGAAATAAAAATAAATATGTGTTTTGTTTATTATTATTTTTAATCTGTTGTACTTTTAGTCTCTCCTGCTACTGTAGAGTTTAAACATTTGTAAATAATTATAGAGATCTTGTTGCACCTTTGAGACTAAGGGGGGTTGCAGACTGCCAGAAATAGTGCAAATTGAGTCCACTTTAACTGTCCTGGCTCAATGCTAGGGAATCATGGGAATTGTTTTTTTTTTTTTC